TTGATGACACGGTTTCGGCCCTAAAATGACGCGCAAAAATTGCCCACGCGAGTTATCGACCTTTCAATGGATACAGGCGCTCACTCACGCATATTACAGAAGGGACCTGTAGTCTCGTCCGCCGAGCTGGCGCCGCGCCAAACCCCTCTCGTCTTCCCCCCATCCTACGCGCCCAGCCCCCCCCGCAGCGACCAGCGCTGTACACGGGCGAAAGCCAAAAGATTTCCAAAAACCATAACCCTGCCGTTATGAGCCTTATAAGCCCAGTGTTCCAAAGTAGCCCCTGTAGCAGAAAATATTTCCAGCGTGGGGGAGAGGTGGGTCCTTTCATGTCATAACCCGCAGTTCCAACCGCAAACCTCATGATTCCTCTCGCATTCACTTTCTTGCTTGTGATGACAAAGACTTCAAAACTAGGCGTTCAATCCCGCTGTGGGATGCGCCACGGGCCACAACTTTTTAAAGTCCACATCCTCACCTAAATGACCGCTTTCCATATCTCTAGCAAAAACGCCGTCTTTCATGCTTTTTTTTGCTTCTTGTGTTCCTTTTTGGCTTTCTGTGAAGTTCAAGGACCTCGCCTCCCACTTCCATCGTTCTGGCAGTAAACCATGGAACGTGACGAGATAACGTTTCTGTCATCATATCTCCCTTAGCAACTGAACGTGAAACTATTAAAGGAGCGATAACTTTGCAAAAAGCTGCTTTTATTGCAGTGACGAAGCTATAACCGAAACGTACCTTGACCCCGAGACTGAAAGACAGAAATGAAGCGGGTAGATATAACCTATTATCATTAGCCCCTGGGATTATCTGGCAAAGCTTTGAAAGTCCAATGGGGATATAGGAACCTGAAGCCATGTCACACCTGCTGGCTCGTTCGGAACATACAACGCAGTAGTTTCAATACATAGTTAGCCACCTTGGATTATTTCAGTAGCTGTTGGCACCAGTTATCGCGGAGAATCGAATTTCGGATCGGTTCTCACCCAGGCATACCGAGCACTCTGCCATCCGGGGACGGTAACGTACTAGATATGATCGGAGAACGGTGATCTCACATCGGCTGGTTCCTAGAAATCATTGTTCAGGCACTACGTCCCATCCGAGGGTGACTCAACCTTAACATGTTGCCTCAAGAAGTATTTACCCATATGGGAATTAATTTCTCGGAATGAGGCTCAAATGGAGGGCTCCGTATTTCCGGTTTCTTCCATAGAATAATATTATTTTAGACTGAATCATTTCATGGGTATGTTGTTCGGACGTGCCGTATATAGAGCTGACGATAAAGGTGTGATAGACTTGGCAAAAACTGCACCACTGAGAGGAACATATACAGGTAAAGGCTGACGTAGTGAAACAACAGTTATGATAGGTAATCTCATAAAGATCTCATTCTTCTATGCAGGTGTGCGAC